CCACGTAACCTCTTGAACCGCGGCCAGCGCGTCCCAATACTACATTCCAGGTAGGGTGCCATTATACTTCTTCATTATATGATTCCAAGATCGGATCCAGCTGGGTATTCTATCATGTTGCAACCAGCCCGTAGCCTCTTTGTGTAGAGATAATAAAAGAGCAAGAGCCTGTGGGCTTGTTGTGAAGAGTGGAAATTCCTAGGTAGGTCCAAACTTTGAAAGTACCACAGGCGCGTTTGCCGCGCATGAGCTCCTCTACTTAGTGTTAATCATGCGTGCAACATGTGTTAACAGGCAGCATGCACGCCATTTGTCTGCAATGAGAAGTACTGTGGTTCTTTTGTAGAGCTTTCCGCAGTTGTCGCCCCCCCCTCGTTGGCCTCACTAATGAGGAAGGACTCTTTCACTAAGCCGAAGCTTCCACTCAAAGCAAGCAGTGGTCAAGTGGCCATGCAGTCCGGAAAATTCTAGAACCTACAAAGCCCTGGCTGCCAGCGGCAGACAGTTGCACGTAGCCGTAACTGTAATGCCTTTGCTGAAACACACGTAACACAGTAGCACAGGATGAACCAACAGGAGCAGGCAGCGCTCCAACCGCTGCACTTGGGGCGCTGTCCAAGTGATAAAGGAGCCCCCACTGCTCGCGATCAGCGGCTGAAGAAGGCATCAAAGTAGCAGCGTTGGCAGTAACAGACTCACGAGCAGCATCGCAGCCCGCAGCACCATTCCATGAAGACTCATTGGCGCCTGTATGGGAGCTGGCAGGAGTAGCAGAAGCTGCTGCCGTAGATCTGTTGCACAGGGATACGAACTGAGATGACAAAGAGGACAGCCGACCGAGATGCGGAAGTGAAGCTAACTGAGAGCGGAAGTGAAGCTAACTGAGAGGAGCCTAGTCAACAACTACGGAATACCTTGATTAACCTCGTACAATTGAGTTCATATTATTATGAGGTGAGAAAACCCAGAATAATAGAACTCAATTGTACGAGGTTAATCAAGGTATTCCGTAGTTGTTGACTATAGTCAGGTACCTTTGACTGACTGTGCCGAGTGACCGCCGAGTCGGACTCGCCAAGGGACATTACGTAGTAACAGTGTAGACAGCTGTTCACTACATTTGGGGGCTGTTCCGGGATTACAAACACAATCTGGGCAGCATTTCGAGCTTGCAACAAGGGAAGACCCTCCCCCTTAAAGCCCGAAGGGACCAACACACCTAAGTGGGAGCGGAGGGGGACATGCATCTACGCAACGGGAAAGTGGTACAGCCTCCGTTTGAACCGAACGCAGAAATGCAGAATATAGATGAGTCAAACGACGATTCCGTGGATTACCCAATGGAAACGCCGCGAACAGAACCCGATCGCTGCATCAACCCACCCACCGCGGGGGTCGCTCGATCGGCACCGCTCGATCGGCACCGAGAGTCTGGGACCGCGACGTTCGAGGGCGCAAGGGACCCGTAGTGGATCAAGCTTGGGCGGATCCGGTTCTGCCCGAGTTCTTTCGGGAACTTGCCTCTCAGATGGCACGGGGGGTAGTACAGGCGTGCCAGAGGAACATCGGATACGAGGACGGCAAGAACATGAGGGATTTCCTCGACCTAGCGGAGTTAGATTTCATTGAAAGAGGGCTAGAAGAACGGCTGTGGGGAGAAGAACTCAAAAGATATCTGAGGGGAGACGCCTTGAGATACTGGTTGTATCTGCGTCGCACTGGAGAATCCCTAACTGATTGGGAGCAACTGAGACAGCGATTCTGCGAGCATTTCTGTAGTATAACTCTGGAACGGATGAAAGTCATGCTAGCTAAGAATGTCTGGAGGGGCGACCACCACGCATACTCGGCGCGCTTTGCGGACATCGTGACTCAAGGGGTGTCGGTGGCTCCAGATATGTTGGTGGGTTACTACCTGGCCAACCTGCCAGGTGAAATACTCCGAGAGGTGACTCGAGGGGGAACAAGGAATTTCGCAGACTGGCAGGAAGCCGCCGCAGCACTGGCTACTACGGCAGCGCCGTGGAAGGATTTATGCGAAGACCACCACCGATTCCGGCGAGACTTAGAGGATGCCACGCGTAGATGGGCTAAAGGCGGGCGAGCACCGGACCTACTACGCGAACGAGAGAACAAGGACGACCGAAGGAATGATACTACGGACTCACGCTGATACGTGTGCAGCGGAAGGGGACATGTGAGCAGGGATTGTCCGCTCCGTAACGGAGCGACGCGACGGATCGGGGAAATATGCTCCAGGTGTGGGGACCGGGATCACTACGCAAGAGATTGTCCTACGTCGGTTCGACCCAGAGCAGAGCCTATCCGGACGCCCAGACAGCAGCCAATGCGGCCCAATGTCGACCAATCGGGGCATTTAAACGGACGAGCCTAGCCGTTAAGGGAGACGAGCGGGCTAGGCGGACTAGGAGTGGGAACGGTGCGATGTGCGCGGTAGCGACAGGGCCTAACTCCATTCCAGTCTCCCCAGATTGGGAGAAGAGGTTGCGTATGGGGACCGAGCGGAAACGCACCGAGGGACCGGATGTGGGGGAGACTCAGCAACCCCCGGCAGACCAGTCCCACGCCGAGACTACGTCGCCAATCAAGGAATGGTCTAGGCGTAGAATGGACCGCAGCGGCGAGCAGAACGACGCAACTACTGAAGGGGACCGCTCACAGGACGCGGGCACTAAAGAACTACAATGGTGGCGCGAGCAGAGGGTGCAGGAAGACGCCACGCCCCAGGGGACACTGTGTAGTGTGGGTATGACCGCCGTGCTAAGAGTCGAAGTGGCCGGCAACCAGTGTGAAGCTCTACTGGATACCGGCGCCTCAAGGAGCTTCATTAGCCCAGGGGCGGCAGAACGCCTGCAGCTGAGAACACGGAAGCTGCCTGAGGAACACGTGTTCACCGTAGCTAACGGTGCGCAGTTGAGGATAGATCGAGTGGTGAAGGGGCTCACAATGTGGTGTGGGACGGCCCGCCTAGCTGGTGACTTCTTAGTCGGGCCGGTGCCGTATGACCTAGTGGTGGGGCTTGATTGGCTGACTAAGCATAGGGTAGCCTGGTATTTCCAGTCTGATAAGCTACGTACGTATGTGGATGGCCAGTGGTGCGATCTACCAGTTGTTCGTGCCACCGAGGCCACACAACGGAACGGCAGTACTCAAGGGTCGCGTCAGCGAACCCCCGCAGAGCAGGCGTACGACATACTGGCTAAGCAGGTGGCGGACATGACTCGGGAGGAAGCTACGGCGCTTCTACGTCCTCCCACTAAGAAGTACAAGCCACCCTCCAGGGGCAAGCGGAAAGCTGTGATCGCCGCCCTGTCCCAGCAGGTTTCGGAGAGTGCGGCCTTTGTACGCCACCCCCTTCAAGGGCTCTACGTTATACTAGCGCTTCCCGCAATGGAGACGGACGTGGCTCTGCGTCTAGTGGAGGAGAGGCAAGGGGCTTTATGTTGTGCCTTGGTTGATTGCTCCCCTTCCAATCCCCACCGGCAGTGTCTTAAGGCTCTACCCGCTTCCGCGTATCCCGACGACGAGGAAACATCCCCTTGGCCAACGGCCAAACTAGAGTACTCGAAATTCGATACGTGGCTAACCTCCGAGGAGGCGCAGGAAACTCCCCGAGTGATACTGGAGGTGTTGTGTGCCAACCGTGCGGTCTTTCCGGATAAACTTCCTACAGGGCTGCCACCGAAACGCCCCCACGATCACCGTATCCTTCTCGTGCCAGGGAAACTCCCTACGAAATCGGCGATCTACCGCATGACCCCCGAACAACTTCTATTTCACAATCAGGAGATAGCTAAGCTGTCTGCTAATGGGTGGATTGGCCCCACTTACTCTCCGATCTGCGCACCTACGATTATGGTGGATAAGCGAAGCGATGAGACGGGCGAGCGTAAGATGCGCATGGTTGTCAATTACCGGGAGCTGAACGCCCTTACGATTGCGCCTGACTTTCCCCTACCACCTATTCAAACGATTCTTGAGATGCTGGGGGGGGCCCGATACTTTTCCACCCTCGATCTCGAGTCAGGATTCCACCAGATAAGGATGGCCAAGGAGGACAGGTGGAAGACAGCTTTCCGTTCTGTTATGGGGTTATTCGAGTATAAGGTCA